CCGTGTCGTGCCGTGTCGGTGCCGCGCGCTGCGCCGAGTCGCGCCGAGCCGGACGATATACGGTCGCCAAGGAGAGCGAGATCGTCCCAAGGATCCCGGCGACGACGACAACTACAACGACGACGAGTGCGACCACGCGCCTATACGGCCGGGTTCCGTTGACGGTGGATCGAGTCAGCGCCCCCCCGAGGAGACAGCCCTTGTGCGCTTCCCCCTTATTACTCAGGTAGCCCTCATCTCGCGTCCTCACCTCGTCGTGTTTTACGACCCTGCGAAACGCAGCGACGACAAGAACGACGACGATGACGACGGAGACGGCGGCGGCGAGCGTCTCCTTGCGTCTCCTACCTCGTCGCTTCCCTTCCCTTTCCCGGATGACGTCCTCACGGGAGAGACGGTAACTCCGTCATCGTCGTCGTCAGTTGTATACAGTGTATATCGATCTGAAACCTGTCATTGAGACACGCTGGAATAGGCGAGATCTCGCGGACAGAGGGTTCATTCGCTTCCATTCGCACCCTTCTACGCACTCAGCCCGTCTCCCAGTCCCCCTTGCTACCCCGAAGTCGGGTTACTGGTTCCCATGCGTGGAGATACGACCGACGTGGTGCTCTAAGCTCTTGTCTTCCACCCCCCCCCTCCCCTCCCCTCTTCCCTCCGACGCTGGGATCGCGTGCTCCTCTTCACGTGCGGCGCAAAAAAAAAAAGCGGCGTATAATGCCCATTTCTAGTGCAGTTTAGTTTAATCTCGATTTAATTAATTCTATATCTTTTTCTAATTCTGAGAATTAGGTGTTAAAGTTGAACTGATGAAAGAGCTGAGATTAAAGTTAATCCACATTAACAGAAACGGGCACAATGCGATTTAAAGGGAAAGGACATGCCAGATCGCGCACGGAACTTTCGCACGCTTTCATCAGAGACGTCTTTCTTTAGTTGCACTTTCCATCAGTTTTTGCTCTCTCCCTCTCTTCCTCTTTTCCGAGTGCCAAGGGAGAGAGTCTACTTGTCCCGTTTCAGAATGCGGAAAGTGTAACGTGATACACTGACGTCCATTTCTACTAATGTAGATTGGCTTTTAACTTCGGTTTAATTTACCCTTTTTCTAATTTTTTGAGCTGAAGAGAGGAGGTGAAAAAAGTGAGTTAAACCGAGATTAAAAGGTTTGGTGAAACATGAACGTGGGACGAGCAAATCTATTAGATTCGTTCGTCCTAATTGCACTCTCCTGCACCTCGCTCGTTTTCTCTCTCGCTTCCGCCAGACGTCGAGTGTACGTCAACTCCGTACTCGAAATCTGCGAAGAGTGTGGGAAAAAGTACAGGTAGAACGAGAGCCGGCTAACGCACGCGGACGTATTCCGCAACTACGGAAAAACGGAGTTCCTATTTCGACGTGACGAGTAAAGAGCGGAACGTGGTAATCCGCTGTAATCTAGAAGGGAACAGAACATCGAGAATATTTGGCGTGCCGTGTTTGATTTCTCGGAAGTGAAAATTGTGAAGAATTTCGTTGATCGCGGTTTATTTGTTGCTATCGATTGGGAAAGAACTGACTTATTCGATGGACATCTGGTTTTCTCACAATTGTACCCATTGTCGATGCCTATTGATGCAATTAGCATGAGACCGAGCTATTGTGAATAGCTCTTTCAGCGTAATGTATGATTCATAGATGTATTTTAAGAGATACATTACAGCGGAGCATAAATCTAAGACGGTATACTAAAGTAATTGTTACAGATTATGAAAGATAATTGATAAGAGAACTCTCTAAATTTGTGCACAAATCTGAGACAATGTGCTAAAATAATTGCTATGAATTAGAAAAGAGTAATTAATAAGTGAACTCTTTAAATTTGTACGTAAAAGTACTTGAGATTTAATACTAAAAGTACTTGAGATTTAATACTAAAAGTACTTGAGATTTAATACTAAAGTAATTACTAATTACTAGATTATGTGAAGACTATTGAGACTACAATGCTCGTTTCTATTGATGTAAATTTAATCTATTCTATTAATGTAAGTTTAATCTCGGTTCAATTTACTCTTTTTTCTAATTCTTGGAACAGATAAAGATATGAAGAGTTATTTGAATCGAAATTAAAATTAAACTGCATTGGTAAAAATGGGCATAAGAGAACTTTTTAAATTTATGTATACGTCTAAAACGATGTACTAAAGTAGTTGTTACGGATTATAAAAGCTAATTCGTAAGGAAACTTTCTAGATGTGTACATAAATCTGAGATGTACTAAAATAATTGCTACGGATTATGAAAGACGATTGACAAGAGAATCTCTCTAAATTTATGTAAACCTGGGATTTTATACTAAAGTAATTGCAAATTTTAAATAAGACTGTTTATAAGAGAGCTCTCTAAATTTGTAATAAGAAAATTTTCTAAAATTATGACTCTAAATTGTAAATGTCAGACGATGTATGAGTAGTTAATGCGAATTTTGAAAGATGATTTACAAAGGAACTCTCTAAACGTATGCGTGAGTCTAAACGGTGTACCAAAGTAGTTGTTGGAGATTATGAAGGATAATTGATAAAGAAACTTTCTAAATTTATACGTAAATCTGAGACTGCACTAAAATAGCTGTTAGAGATTATGAAAGATGATTGATAAAGGAACTCTCTAAATGTATGCATAGGTCTGAAACGCATTAAAGTCGTTACAGATTATTGAAGATATGAAGGATAATTGATACAGAAACTTTCTAAATTTATGCGTAAATCTGAGACTGTGTTTACTACACATTAAATAAAACTATTGACAAGAGAAATACTAGAATAGTTGCTATAGATTATGAAAGATGATTGATAGAGAAACTTTCTCTTGTACGTAAATTTGAAACGATGTCTAAAGTTGTTATAGATTATGAAAAATAATTGAAAACTTTTAAAAATTATGTGTAAATCTGAGACTGTATGTATTAAAATAGTTGCTATAGATTGTAAAGGACAATTGATATGGGAACTCTCTAAATGTGTACGTTTTCTCTCTTTTTTTTTTCAGATACACAGTGCCATTCCAAAGAACCATTGCTCACAGCTGTGCTAAACTATAAACGCTATGCTTAACGATAGATAGTGTTTAAGGGTTTTCAAGCTCTGTGTTATTTATATTTAATAACGTAACACTATTAATCGCGTTTCTCTACCGTAAAAGCTTCACGATAGAGTAGAGATAATCGTACGGATGAGAAGTCCGGAGGGAATCAGTCGCACGTAGATGTTTGTACATAAAGCCCAAGATTCATCTTTGCGAGTAAGCGAATTGTGATTCAAATCGTTTAGAGATGTTACCAAAGGGAGATTGAACCAATTTTCTACGCAAAACTCTAGACTTGAAGGGTAGAATATGACCAAAGGTATAAAGACAAATCTGTATTGGTAGCAAACTTTTTCGATGGCATTTCGCTATGTCTTGAGTAACGCTATTTAAAAAGAAGGGAAAAGTTTATTTTGACATTTGCTACGAGCGATATTATCGCGTGCTAAACATGGCGAGAAAAAGTGACAATGCAAAGAGCATCAACGTCGCGGTGGTCGGGCTCTCCGGCACGGAGAAGGACAAGGGACAGGTCGGCGTCGGCAAGTCGTGTCTATGTAATCGCTTTATGCGTTCCATGAGCGATGACTACAACGTCGAACATATTTCAGTGTTGTCGCAGGTATTTACATCTATACATCTCATTTCGTAATCGATTACGGAGATTTTAAATAGAAGGAATTATCGACACACATAACACATTACTAGTATATGAATTTCTTTAGCTCTGTACAGATTTGCAAAATTTTTTTACATAGTTAAAATACGGAACGATCAATTGTTTAGCGTGTGTATTTTAGTTATGTAAAAAGATTTACAATTCTATTCAATAATCAATTTAGAGAAATTTATATATCTACAATGTATCGATAATTCCTTTAGTTTAAGGTTCTTACGTTTCGATGATCAAACATTTTATTGCAGTCTGACTTCAGCGGACGTGTGGTAAACAATGATCACTTCTTGTACTGGGGTGAGGTGATGAAAATGGCAGAGGACGGGACGGAGTTTCAGTTTCAAGTTATAGAGCACACGGAATTTATAGACGATGCGTCGTTTCAGCCGTTTAAAGGCGGCAAAATGGAACCATATGCGAAGAGATGCGCCGCTACGAAGATTACAAGCGCGGAGAAGCTCATGTATATCTGTAAAAATCAGCTGGGCATAGAGAAAGAATACGA